ATGACTATGGATTTCAGATGTGTGTAACTTTGGATATGCTCCCTTGCCTAATTTTTGTTCTCTAGAAATACAATTTTAACAGGGATAAAATTAATTCGTATTGGATACTGGGAAAATTAACGGATACCTCCGTGTTCCCCCGCGTTGCCTTTCTAAAGTCTCTGATTACTCATGTTCTGAAGTGTGGTAATACAGCGCTGCCAGGTAGTGACGGATAAAGTCAGAACGATAGATCGTTCCGCGCGAATTTTTATGTGCATTATTACTCATTAACGCACCTTTGCTTCTGGTAAAAGTTCATGATAATCATTCCCATTGCAGTAACACTTTTCTCCGCTAAATGCTTTCAGACGTGCCAAATCTCACGGTCAAATCCGTAGTCACCTAAATCTTACCGACACACACTAGTCATAAGTTTCAGCGTTCAATTAAGTAATTTGTCTTTTCTTCTAATTATTATCATTAATATCATGGATAAATTTCAGGCCTCCTTAATATTAAAGCCTCTCCTCTATGTTTCACACGTGTCAGAAATTTGCAAGCCCCTTAAAGCATGTTCTGAAAGGTGTACTTTCAATTTACACATATATTCTAACGCATCTTCAACGTTTGTCACTATTTCTTTGAATTGCACTGTTGAAAAAATTTGTCATGAAAAGTGAATAATCGAAACACACACAATATAATCTGAAGTATTTCGCACTGATATACCCCGTAACGTCCATTTTTGTGTGCTGGCCATAAGAATAAGGGATAGACCAATGCAAGTGGCGTAAACAATGACAAAAGGTGACCGGTGGACCCAGTATTGAACCTGATTTGTTTCTACCTTTTCACTGTCAATTTCACGTCGCAGAAGGAGTTCATTCACCTCGATGCGAACACAATTATTTACCCAGGCTTGTCGCGAAGATTGGAGTTTACGATGATAACTAGATCCTACTATCTATCGCAAGGTTGCCGTTTGTGCCTTACTTGCCGTTTCCAGTTCCATCTTCCCTGAGCTGATTGATGATATCCAGCTCACGCGTGGCCTTGCGCGACACATAGCAATACTCATGTTGGTGGTATAAAATCAGGTACAAAATGCAGAGTGTACATCACAAAATGCTGAGAATTGGCGTCCTTCATTGGGTTCTATTTGGGGTGGTCGATAGAAGCGTGGGCACAATGCTGTCACCTTTATGGAGTAAGCAGACAATTATCCTGCTTGTACTACTGCATACAAACTTAGCCGCTCTACCTCACTGTTTATTGGTTCCACTGACACAGTGGACTACGGTTCACATGTTTTTGCGCGTAACCCCAGGTAAATGTCAAAGGCAAGATGACCATTTGCAAGTTGATCAAATGATAGGAATGCAAAGGTTTGGTAAATTTTTGCTGAAAATCTCATTCGATGTGACTTGTTTTATTTTCGACCAC